AGGAAGCTATTCTGGGTGCTTAATGCTTGGAGTTGCTCTTTTAAAATCTAGCAGTAGCCTGAGTTCCCAGATGTATTTTCTTCCTTTTTTAAAAAATAAAATTTACCTTTTTTAAGAACAGAATTGTTTTTTTGTGTCTTCAGAGGTTTGTGCGCATGTTGTTTAGTTAGCTGGTGGCAACAGCTGATTTCTTTTTGTTGTTGTTTCCTTTCTCAGCTCGTCCCCAGAGGGGGGGTGAAAGGACTTGAGGGTGCCCCACAAGAAGGAATTCCCAAGTGCGCTTCCTGGGCTCTCAAAGGGGTTCTGCACTTGGGTGGTGGCAGCATCTCCCCAGCCAAGGTCAGAGAGAAGCTGTCACCTTGGGAGTTTAATACAAGCCTGGAGTGGCCAGTGTTCGTTTTTAAAATCCATGGGGGGCCCCACTTCCTGCACTCAGAGTGCCAGAGTGGGGAATCGGCCTTGACAGACCCCCCCTGGGAGGTCACCTGGGGAGCTGGGACATCACTGAGTCGGACTATTCCACCATTCTGGGTCCCCTTGACCTGGTCTTGCTGGGCTAGGCTCCTAACCCTAACCCTAACCCCAACCTTTTCCAGCCAAGCACACGGGCAGGGCCACACCCAGCCGCACAGAGAGACAGAGTTCCGCTCTGGGAAGGCTCAGCTTGTGGGGCTTGCCACAGCACCCAGACAGGGCCGTCCTTACCCACACGCAAAGTACGCAGCTGCGTAGGGCACCAGGAAATTTGGGGCACCAAATGCAGCTGCGCGCTGCTCTAGCAGCCAGCCCAATCCCCCGGCCAGCTGAGCCGGCCAGGAAAGCTGCCCCCCCGTGGAGGCCTGGGGACGCCCCCCCATGGGGGGGCTGCGTAGGGCACCAAAATGTCTAGGGACGGCCTTGCACCCAGATGTCCACCCCCCCTTGGAGTCCAAACCCCAAATGATATGAAATTCGCCTCTTCCCTCGATGTGGAGGAGGGTCTGCACAACTCCTTCCCCCTAGTTAGAAATCACACAAACTAGGTTCTATTGTAAACCAGAACGAACTGGGTGAACTCTGCTGGCGGTATTGTAAGTAGTTAAGGAGGCAGCAGACAGAACAAGGCAGATTACTAAGAAAATGAAGCAGTTCACGGAAACTAAGCTTCATACACTAAAGAAACTGGTTACACGTAAGTTCTCGCCCTAAATGTGCTTCTAATAATCTTCACCGGCCAGACGCCCTTCCAGCCTGGGCCCCGTTCTTCCCCCTGGTCAGTCTTAGTTGTTTCCAGCAGTCACCTTGGGTGGGGTAGCCGGGGAGAACAGAGAACTCACTCCCCACCCTTAACTCAGATTTGCATAAGGCCTAGGGTGACCAGAGAGCAAGTGTGAAAAATCTGGACAGGGAGTAGGGGGTAATAGGCACCCATAGAAGACAAAGCCTCAAATATTGGGACTGTCCCTATAAAATCGGGACATCTGGTCACCCTAATAAGGCTGGAGTCCTCTGTTCCCTAGTTTGACTCCCCTTTCCTTACAGTGGAAAGTGACGAGAAATCCCAGGTAGTGTTTTAGTATCAGGTGACAAGACCACCTGACTCTGTAGGGCCCTTGTAGCTAGGGTGACCAGACAGCAAGTGTGAAAAATTGGGACGGGGTGGGGTGGGGGGTAATAGGAGCCTATAGAAGAAAAAGACCCAAAAATCGGGACTGTCCCTATAAAATCGGGACATCTGGTCACCCTACCTGTAGCCATTCTTCACAGGCTGACCCACAGAAAGACTCAGCTCTTTTACAGAACCGAGCTGAAATACAGATGCAGATAGGGTGACCAGACAGCAAATGTGAAAAAACGGGACGGGGGTGGGGGGGTAATAGGAGCGTATATAAAAAAAGGATCAAAAAATCGGGACCGTCCCTATAAAATTGGGACATCTGGTCACCCTAGATGCAGAGTCAATCTTCCTAACTTCAGATGCAGACAGGATCCAGGCGTACAGAGAGAAGAATCGCATTCAGTAAATCGTCACCTTTCCAATGATCTCTCGCCTGCGCCATCTGGCATAAAGTACATCTCAGTTATGGCATATTTATATCATAAGCCTATTTTCATAAAGAATATGGACTGACCCAGGGTGACTGCTTCACCCCGCAGGTTTTCAGACCTGACAGCGAGCCCGGACGTCGGGCCTTTGCCCGGCTCTAGGGGATGTACAGAGCCAAGACTCAAACATCAAATCCAACCTCTTGCAGAGCCGAGAGTTAGGGCCGGTGCAAGGAAGTTTTGCGCCCTAGGCGAAACTTCCACCTTGCGCGCAACCCCCCCCCCCCCCGCCGCAGCGGTGCCCTGCCCCCGGAAGCAGCCACGCCACCCCCCGCGGCAGCTCCCCCCCCCGCCCTGAGGCGCGCCCCCCGTGGCAGCTCCCACTCGGGGAGCCGTGCGGCTGCTCCCCACCCCAGCTCACCTCTGCTCCGCCTCCTCCCCGAGCACGCCGCCCCCGCTCTAATTCTCCTCCCCTCCCAGGCTTGCGGCGCCAAACAGCTGATTGGCGCTGCAAGCCTGGGAGGCGGGAGAAGTGGAGCGGCGACCGCGCGCTTGGGGAGGGGGCGTAGGAACGCTGTAAAAAAAAATTGGGGGCACCACTTTTTGGCGCCCCCAAATCTTGGCGCCCTAGGCACCCGCCTAGTTTGCCTAAATGATAGCATCGGCCCTGCCAAGAGTCACAACTTCCCAGGCTAGAAGGGAGCAGTTTGCTCATGTCTGACCTCGTGTAGAACCTGGGCCGGAGACCTGCCGCACAATAACACCGAGAGCAGATCTCTTCAACTTCCAGCCATCGGATCGGGTTCGACCTTTGTCTGCTAGGTTGTTAAATATTTGTTCCTTTTGTAGGTACTTCTAGCCAGGGATCAAGGCAGCCCTGAACCGTCTCTTTGATTGAGCTCCTGGAGTCTGTCACTCTCCAATCGGTTTTCTCATCCTTTAATCATTCCCACGACTTTTCTCTGACCCCCCTTGACTCAGCCGGCATTGCAGAGACGTGTGGGTGAGAGCAGCCGGCTGGAATAGCGGGATCGAGGGGTACAGCTGGTCAAGGAAGGTCAGGCAGTGCAAGAAGGGGGGAAATGCTGAACTGTATCTCAAGAACGTGTACACCTGCTCTGAGATCTGAAGATTGGAGAGGGGCAGAGATGCCGAAATTCTCTCTGGGTGAAGATAAAACGAGGAAGTGGAAACCAGGGCCAATGTCGTGGTAGGGCTCTGCTCTATTTAGTTATAATGTCAGCAGATTGCATCACCATGTCTTCCCCCCCCCCCCGTTTTTATCTATTTACATCTTAACCGTTGTGGGAAATTATGGGGGGCAGTCAGACAACGGGGAGGGTTAATGATTTAACGACGGCAGACGCTGAGATTCAAAACGTGAATGCTTTACAGCGCCATTTGTCACCAGCACACGTCGAAATATACGCAGCGACTTATCAAACCCGACCAAGTCCTCCAGCAGCGCGGTGCTGACTAGGCCTAGCTGGAAACTGCAATGAATAGCCATGGAGGTAGTTCTTCATGGGCCCAGGCATGTGTGGGGAAATTGACAAGGAAATTGACGTCTACCGACGTTTGCTGATCAATCCTCCCATGTCTAGCTACAGGCCACCAAATGAGGAGGCAGACGAGACATTTTTAGAGCCAATAACAGATGTATCCAAAGCACTGGACCTGATGGGAATCAGGGACTTTGAACCCTCCAGAAGACAACGCGGAACGTCTGAGTTCTTGGATGGCATTGGGGACAATTCCTTTGTTTCCCAAGGTGGAGGACGGAAGTGGGGTGGGGGGTGTTTTCAAGTCTGACGCGCAGGGAGGATCTGGCTGAGAGCCGGGCGGTGGACGGCCACGTGGGGGAAAGCGATCGCGAAATGATCCGGTGAAAGGCAAAGAGCGAAAGCAGCACAATAAAGATGCCGGATGGGGACGAGCCCGGGGTCCCCGGGGATGCGATTCTAGGGGGAAAGGGGAGCTGGTGGCTTCTACAAGAAACAATATTAAAGTTAAAAGAGCAAACTAGTCCAACATGGAGGGGCTGAGCCCTGGAGTATCTGTGTGTGTGTGTGTGTGTGTGTGTCTCCCCCTGCTGGAGGGGCTGGGCCCTGCTCCGTGTGTGTGTAAAGACCAATCTCTCCACAAAAACCCTTCTGAGCAACCAACCACACAAAGGGGAGATTGGCCCAGAAAAACCAGGGCAGGGACTGGCTGGCTTGGGGCAGTGAGGGAATGGGGCACGTGGCCTCTCCCCTCTAGGGGGCGCTGGCCCCGATCCAGCTCACTGTTCTGCTCTGACAGACACCCTAACTCAGTGGTTCTCAAACTTCTGTCCTGGTGACCCCTTTCACATGGAGGCAAAGCGGGGTTTGGGGTGGAGGCTGACAGCTCGCGACTCCCATGTAATAACCTCGGAACCCCCTGAGGGGTCCCGACCCCCACTTTGAGAACCCCTGCCCTAACTAGTGAGGTGAATTGGAGAGCACTCAGCACAGGTCCCACGGGGCAGCTGCTGTCCACAGCCCCCCGCCTCCCAGCAGTGTGGGGAAGTGAGAAAATACCCTAAAGAGAAAAGTGGGGAAATAGGGATAATTTCGATTCATTCAATTAGTGGTTGGGGGGGAGGCAGGGAGCCAGGACGCCTGGGTTCTCCCTCTAGCTCTGGGAGGGGAGTGGGGTCTAGTGGTTAGAGGGGACTGGGAGCC